CTATGCACATTTATTTTATGGAACCTCAATCTGAAGGAAACTTCACGGTTGGTTGAAGAAAAATAGGCGCAGAATTTAAGTACGAAAGAAAGAAAAAATATACAGGCGGACAATTTCTCTGTTGGTTGGGAAGAGAATGATTGAAGGAAAGGAAAAATCAAATATCCCAAAATTGGGCAGAAGAAAGACAGAAAAATAAAATCCAATAAACCGAATTATAAAAATTTCAATTCTATATGTGAGATGTAGACATTATTTCACATATTTAAAGAGTCTATGATAGATTAACCTCCTGTTTCCTTATTAAAAGTACCATATATGAAAACTAGTGACTTCATCTATCCTTCAATTCATTGTATAACCAATACAAACGAGAAGAAGAAGACGAGTCCTCTTCCGTCTATTATCTTGGATAATCATCACAGGAAAAAAAAATATTCCAACACATAAGCTGATACGATAACAACTTTCTCGGGTGATTTTTTTTTTTTTTGGTAATTTAATAAAATAAAGTACTCAATGAATCTTATCTTAGAAATAAGTTTCGTTCCACACACCATAAAAAGAATAGCATATAAAATATATTCTACGGACGAAACAGTCTGCGAAAAAAATATTGATCTAAGTGGATCTAAGTTATGAAGATAAGCCTATTTTATTTTCAACAATCAAACAAGTCCATTAAGATGTTTTCACACGCTAATGAATACAGATCATAATATTCAAAAGCAGAAATAATCGAAGCAATTCTTGCTTTTTTTCCCTTCCTTTCACTCCTTTATGATTATGAAAGCATATAGAACATTGTTTATGCATTCAAGAATAAAAATATTCAAAGCAAAAAGAATTGATACCTGTAATGACAACATTGGTGAGGCCATCTCCATGAATAAGGCTAATATGTCTTCCTCCTAACTCTCCTCTCCCTCTTCCATAAGACGGTAATGGCTCTAGATGGGCATTCTTGTGTCCTATCGATCGAAAACACAAAGATTAGAACAACACAACAAGATTTACACTTTTACGTCATAAAAACATCGATTCGAGCTGTATTATTCATCTAATCAGGTTGCTCCCATTAAGATAAAGTCAATAGTCATCATTTCACATGTTTCTGAATGTTGCATAGGCAGAGACAAATGCTACCAGCACAACCAAGAATCTGATGTCACTAGCAACATGAAAAATCATAATTGGGACCTACTATCTAACGACATTAAAACCGAAATATTTAACCATACTACATGCACATATACTTTATTAAAGAGTGTATAGCTTATACAGGGCCAGTAACCACTGCATTACATATACACTTATTAGAAAGTGTTAGTAACTTTACCAATATGATAATGAATTATTTGGTGGGTCCTTTGGGTTGGCATGAATATCAGCAGAATCAACACCCACCCACACCAGCCTTCTTTTTCCTTTTGGAAAAGGAACAAAAGGACAAAATGAGGAGAGGACCATACTAGCCTGCCTACCTTGCTAATGACCAAATTAAACAATAGTTATGATTAAGAATAACGTGACCAAATTAAACTATACACTTAACACAAAGAATATGTCAAACCAGAACAACTCATCATACTTTTTCATATAAACTTACCATTTTGAACCCTATTGATGAATTCCAATTCAAAATTTCAACTAAAAACCTTCACAATCAGTAAAGAACTCTCAAGTCAATTCTTGAACCGTGAATCCAAGCGAAAAGACAAAAAAATGTTACCCTTAAACTAAATAAAAAAAAAAAAAAAAATAGACCAGATTATAAAATTTCAAATATACAAAAAAAACACAAAAACAAATCCCAGAAATCAAAAGCAAGAAATCAAAACAGTGATTTTGATTACCTGAGAGCCCAAATGACAGCATCCTTTTCAAGAAACAGCGTGAAATACTGGTGAGATTGAAGCTTCCGGTAAGCCAAGTACCGGCCGGCACATTCAACTGGTGCCACCTCTATCTCCAAAACCTTGCATGTAAAGTACCGCTTCCGAAACGTTTCGGTATTCGACGTTTTCCCATCTCCGACACCCCAAAATCCTTTATCGACATCACGACTTCCTCCTCGGCAACTGCCCCGAGAACCCGAAACATTTCCGGATAAACAAACCACTGATCGGACTCCGTTGATCCATAAAAAAGACTGACCGGATGGGGTATGCAGACTTTGTTAATTTGCAAAGAGATGATTATCGCCAGAGTCAAAAGAAGAAGAAGAAACGGTGCCATGAAGGCTTCCTTAATTTTCCTACAAGCGCATGCAAATTTAGTTTTTCAGACTCCATAATCTTTTCTTAACTTTGCCATGCATTAAAAAAAACTTGCGAAAACAGTTTTCTGATACGATCCCGAAACAGAAAAAAAATCGTTTTTTCAGTTGTTTGACACGAGTAAATTGTTTTATTTTTTTTTTTGATGGAGGGTGGTGTTGGAGGAAGAAGGATGTTGGTTTGGTTGTGAGAATGAACAGTGGTTAGGTTACGTGAGGAAGACGAAGGGGTGGGCAATGCGCATCGGCCAATTTAGCGTATTTTTTATATTTTTGTTTTAGGAATTGATGTGTGTCAGCGTGTCCGGTTCGGACATTACGAGAGAAACTTCGATCCGGTGCAGTGAAGAGCGTAGTGGAGTTTTAGTCAGTGAAAGTTTGACACGCGTAGGTAGGGATTATTTAGAACGTGGTTGGTGAGAATTGGTAAGAGTAGATTAAAGGTGAGGAGTGAGGTAGAGGATAAATAGTGGTGTGGACGAACACTAAGCGTGTAGCGTGTTGGTGATCTCTACGAGAAAGCGGTGGAAAGAAGCCGCTATTCACGGGACTCTTCCAAAATTACTCCCCACGGCCCCACCTCCCTTTCTTTTAATCGCGTATTTAATTTCTTAAGATTTTTATTTTTAAAAGGTTACTATTTTATGTTAATAAACTTTCCAATATTTCATATGTAAATTATAATTATTTTATTTAAAAAAAAAAAACTAAAACACCTAATTCATCATTTAAAAATATTGTTTCTCTCTCTTTATTAAATAAAAATTTCTAAATATTTAATTTTCTTTCTTTCAAATCTTAATCCTTGGTTTTATATAAGTTAGGTTCTATATTGAATTTCAATAATGCTATAAATACAAATAAAATTTCCATAATACTAATTTACGAATTTTAGACCTTAAGTACTTCAAATCTTAATTTGTGTTGGATTAATATATTTAATACCTTATTGATTATAGAAAAATAAATCGTCATACCTCAAGTTAGATAACAAGGGTATTGATAAATTAAATGTCAAAACAATTATGATCTATATTTTAAGTTTTTTAGTGTAATATTATTTATTAACTTTTCTTTAATTTTTAAAAATTCATTTATCATGGTATTGTATGTATAAGTATGTGTTGAAAAAAAAAAAAAAATTAGAGTTGGAGTTTCATTTAGTTGTATACACATATATATAAAAATAAATAAGATATATTTGACACCCTTAATTTATATTAACATATAATATATTTAAAATATTAATATGAAACATTAAAAAATATATATATATTATTTTATCATTAACATATCCTTTTTATATTTTTTTATTATAAAATTTTATCTATTAATCGTTTATCATAGCTTAAAATTGAATTTAAATGATGAGGAGATAATCTTAAAATATATCTAAACTTAAATATTTGTATCTAAAAAAATTAAAAAGTTTTGGATATAATTATTTTGCCATGTCTAGTTAGGTATATCTTAGATTAAGGTACAAAAATTTTAGTTCTTATAGTTTTGATTCAACAACATCAAGGACTTATTTATTTTTTATTAAAGAAAACATTCTTCTATTTCACCTCTATCAGTATAAAAAAAGATATATTTGAAACTTTTTTTTTTATTAGTAATTAAAACTTTTTAAAATATAAAAGGTTATAAATGACTTGAGGTTGAGTTTAAAATTTTTATTTTATTTATAAAAAAAAAGTAAAAGTTTTTATTTTAAAATAAAGGACTTTTAGATTTCATAAGTTGCTTTTGCTGGAGTTAACTGCAAAAATACCCCAAAGAAAACTTACATTATTGATTTTTTATTAAAATTTTTTGAAATAAAATAATAAAAAGTACTAAAAACAAAAAGATACAAAAACCATTGAATTGCCCCAATTTCTTTTATTTAAAAAATGTAAGTTTTAATATGTTTTAAAAATAAAAAAAAAATAAAAAATGTGTATTTTCACTCTAATTACAAAGTAGTAGAAACAAAGTGCAAATAAAAACACATCAACTTAATAGGCAATACTCTAGATAACAATCAACATTGCACCATTTTTACACCTTGATCATCTAATAGTAAATAACCCTCAATAATCGTGGTTGATAAATCTGGAAGATGACTCATCACAGTGTTCTCACAATAGTAGAGACTTCACCTATTCATGTTAACATACAAAAATAATATAAAAATTAGTCGAATTATAAGTAATTATAAAAGCATTATATGATATTTAAGAAATAAAACTATAAAAGCATTTGATCATTATCATTACCCTTTTTTATTTGAATAAAAGAAGTGACATTTTAAATAAACTTAATGAGCAGCACACAAAATATGTGAAGAGAAGTTTTGAAAAAATTAATTAGGAGAGACGTTTGTTGCAATAAATAAGATAATAGATATAAATTAATTTTATTTCTATCTCATTCATATTTTAACCATTCAGTTTGCTTTAATTCAAGGGGTAGCGGATCCCTTCCCCATATATATATATACAACCCCATTTCTTTGACACAAGTTTTCCACCTTTAGATGAAAATACAATTAACGGTAAAAATATGCTGATTTATCAAGCTGAAAAATATGTCTTATATTGCCAGCTTTATGTAATAAATATTTCCAACAAATTAATATAACTCCAGATCTACCGCCCTAATCATTTCTCATTATCAATAAAGAGCTTCAATGAAATTAACTTAAAAAGACGCTTTTCAAGAAATCATACCTGTTTTTTCATGGATGAGACTGTTTTTCAACAAGCTGCTCAAAATCTTCACATGACAGAGATGACAAATATCTAGTGTTGTAACAAAAACCAAAACCAAATGCATGTTTATAAGTTGCCAATACTTCTGGAATTTGTTTAGTGAGTTTCTCCCAGTTCTCACCTTTCATCATCCAATAGATCTCTTTTGGCATCATCAGAAATATAAGTCTCTTAAGATATATTAGATGCTCAATTCCTGTTGGAAGCTCCGTCAAAAGTGGGCTTGGTCCAATCCGAAATTCTTTTAAATTAGGCATTGAACCTTTATCTATCACCATCCATTTTAATTCTCCAAAGTTGACGAGATGCAGCTCTTCAAGCTTGGGAAACCAACCTTCTTCGAAATGCAATTTCTCATCACAATACGTCACCCTGATCACAAGCTTCAATAAATTAGGTAAGGCTTGAAGGACACTTATGGGATCAATATCAGTTGTTCCCCTAAAAACCAATTGTATTTTAATTAGTTTTTGAAGCTCAGAAATCCAAAACGGCAGCTTCTTAATATTCCCTTGTAAAAACAAACTTTGAAGAGATTGTGGAGGAGAGGCCATTGATGATACATCAACAATCTCTGCTTTAACTTTAGATGTTACACGCAAACGTTCAAGATTTTCCATATTCTTGACAACATGGAACAGATCCTTCCAATCTCTATTTTCAAGTACAATGTCCAACCTCCTCAACTGCCTTAGTTGCTTAAGCTCTCCAACAAATTCAGAATTTGCTTCGACAGAATATAGCTTGTGTAAATTCGTTAAAGCCCCAAGACCCTCGTGTATTTTGGGACAGAAGTCCTCCTTATGCCATATAATTAGACAACGCAATTTTTTTAGATTCTTGATTTCAACTGGCAGCTCAGTCACAAAAGAGTAATTCAAATCTAGAGTTTCTAAGTTAATAAGCATGCCTATAGACTTGGGAAGTTCTTTTATGTTTGTTCTTTTCAAACTTAAGTAGTGCAAATGAAAGAGCTTTCCCACTCCATCAGGAAGGTATTCCACAGGACCATCTTCAAAATCAAGTATTTTCAGAAGCTTGAAATTGGCAAAAAATGTACTCATGAAAGACTGAGGAAGTTTGTCTACATCGAAAAGACAAATAGAACGAATCTTTGAATCCTTGATTCTTTCTAGAGCATCATCAGTACCTCTATTTACTGAAATACGACGAGTTTTATGACTCATGTCTTCTCCACTTAGGTCTCCATAGAAACTCAGTTCTTTAGTCTTTTTTAGAAGGATTTCATGCATCAGATCATGGACTTTACATGTTCTAACTCGTCCTGAAACCTTTCTCTCCGAAACTTGAACCAAACTTCTGTCAATGAGCTCTGTCAAGTAATCTTCTGCAACTTGTTCAAGCGAGTAGCTTTTGCTATACTGGACAAAGCCCTCAGCTATCCATAGGCGTATTAGTCTCCCAAAAACAATTTTAAAGCCTTGTGGAAACAAGGCAAAGTACGAGAGGCATGACTTCAAATGGTGAGGGAGATCATAATAACCTTCAGATAAAACTCTGTTGCAACTTCTCAGATGGGGATCGCTCCCTAACTTTGAGCCCAAACCACAAAGTAACTTTTGCCATTCAGAGACAGCCTTGTTTTTGTTTGACAAAATACCACCTACGGCCACGATTGCTAATGGTAAACCTCCACACTTTGCAAGGATTTCATGAGACAATTTCTTCAGCTCCGTTGGACAAGACATATTAAACCCAAACGCTTTTCTAGAAAAGAGTTCCCATGCCTTATCTGAAGGCAAATGTTCAAGCTTATGGACATTCACAGAAGGAACTGAATCAGCAACATTCATGTATCGTGTTGTCAGCATTACCCTACTGCCTTTGTTATTATCAAGCAAAGCATACTTAACATCTTCCCAGAAATCATCTTTCCACACGTCATCAAACACAACCATGTAACACTTGTCTTTCAAGAGCTTTCTCAGTGCAGTCGTCAGATTCATCTCATTCATCTCTTCCGTGTCCTCCATCTCCCCTGAAGCGTACCCTGTTTGACAGTTAACTTGCCGTTTAATTGTCTGTAACAGATCTTTCTTCATGTATTCTTTCCCAACTGTGATCCAAACCTGACAGTCAAAATGCTTCTTCACAACATCATTATCATAAATCTTCCCGGCAAGAGTGGTCTTTCCTAATCCTCCTTCACCCACCATGGCAATCACTGAGAGACTTGATCTTTGACTCACCAATAAATCAATCAATTTATGTTTAGAAGATTCAATGCCCACAATCTCTGAGTCTTCAATGAAAAAGGAGCCAACTCGTGAGTCATGTGGTATAACACCTCCTATACCACTACTTGATCCTTCATCTCTGAAGTTGAAGTCTTGTCTTCTTCGTTTGATATCATCAAGCGACGATTTGATATCTTGGATAGCAGTTGCAACTTCGTGGCGCAATTTCAATTTCTTTACGAAACGACTTATTTTACGAAGAACACCAAGAAAGCCACTGCCGCGAGTAAGTTGTGCCTTCTTCAAAATGTACTCATCTAGGACATCTTCAATATGAAAGGCTTCTTCCCTCAATTGTTTTACCCATGTTTTGACACCTTCGTTACTTCTTCCTTCTTCTTCAGCTGCAGCCTTTGCATCGGCATCCCTGAGGCAAGACCTTATGCTTTCCAATTCACTTTTGATGCTTTGAACTTCTTCTCTTGCATTTCCCAGCAACTTGATTTCTTGGACAAGAAGGGAACTCAAGGTGTCTATAGCAAACTCCACCGCAGCCTCTGCCATAGCTTAACCTCTCTCTCTTAGTGGATTGATGTCAATCTACAAGAATTGATGCCAAGAAAATGAATAATAACATTAAATGTTTTTATTGTGTAGCCGATATTAATAAATTAATGAACTGTTAGATAAAATTAAATGGTTAAGGGTACAAAACATCTTGTCAAAACCTTAGAGCTGACACGACAACAAGAGAAAATTGAATTAATTTTATTAAAGAGATAATAAATTAATTTATTTTCTTGCAGTTATAATTCTTTGTGAATTTTAAACCTTGATGTTATTGAGTGAAGACCTATCAAGATAACTAAAAGTAAAACATAAACAAGAGTACGTCCAATTTTCTTTCTTTCTTTCTTTCTTTCTTTTTTTTTTTTTTTTTTTTTTTTTTTTTTAATAAGAAACTGAATATTTATGAGATTCCTTTATACATAAATAGAATCATATGTTAAATATGTGATAATATAAATAAAGTGCGTGAAGATGTTAAAATACCATTAATATAAATCACTTTATATAATGCATTTTTATGTTAACTAAAAAACTTTAAAATTCAGTTTCTAATTTACCACTAATTTTTATAAATTCAATAATGTGTTATTTTTATTTATTTAATTCTTAAATGACAAAGAGTGAAGTCAATAAAAACATAAAATAAAATAAAAATTTTATTTCTGATCCAACTCTAAATAAGAAATATACAGAAAATGGTCCAAAAACAAGAAGCTAACTTTAGATGAAGCGCTAACTTTGAGTTTGGGTGAAACACTTAAACGTTTTCTCTTGCTTTCTCTTCTGCTAAATGAATTTTCATGTATTATGTAAAAAGAAATTTTCGTGGAACTTGCGACAGACCCAGATGGAAACTGTAGCCACTGAGTACTATGAAAATATCGAGTAGATTACTATGAAAATTAGATCTGGAAAAATATTTAGTTAACAGAGGAGAAGAAAAGGAAAGTCAAGAAAAATATTTAGTCAATATTCAAAAGTGAAAACGATAGATTAAAATAATTGTATAAAACTTCTATATGAAAAGCAAAATTACAGAGAATATTTGAGAGAAAAATCTCAGCTTTTTCATTGAGAAGTAAAATTGATTTACAAACGTTTATATATTTTTGGGCAATCCTTGTGACTGTAGTTTTACTAAATCTCAGCCACTCAATCAAACGGCAAACAAACACAATTAGAACTTGCGACTAACCCTGCACTTTTTGTCGGCCATTATCTGACAAAATTTCTTTGGCTTATTCGACTGAGTCATGGTTTTAAAATTAAAACAACTCCGTCTACTGATTTTGTAACCCATATTAGGCTTACAATTTATAATCAATTTATAATAGTTGTAATTAACTATTATACAATTATTTATTATTTAGCTATAAAATTAAAAAAAAAAACAATTGCAATAATCAAACTAATTATCATCCTTATATTTTTATTGTAAGTATTGTTATTGTTGATTAAATATGGCTCAAACACTAAATATTGGAAAAATATATTTTTGCTTATATCCCACATTGTTTAGCAAATTAAGGAGTCAAGTCTTGGTGGGCAATATAAAGGAGTGAGATTTTCCTAAAGTCTACATAAAGGGGTATTAAGCTTCGGTTTTAGTGTCTTAACAAATTTGTAAACATTTACTCATTTTAATATTTTGAGTGAATGTTTTAAATTTGTAATTGAGAGTTTCCAAACAATTGTAGTTCTCATAAATAATGAATTAGTTATCAGAACCCAAGGACGTAGGCACATTTTTTGAACTTTGTAAAAATTGTATTGTATGTTCTCTCTAGTTTAAATTTTGCTCAGTTTTATTTTTTTGCATATCTTTTACTGGTGCTTGTAGAAGTGGTAGGGGTGTTCCGTTCCGGGTAATCTGTATTTTTTGAAGGAATTGGAACCTGAATCGAAACTGACGGTTTCTTGAAATTTGAAACCAGAATCAGAACCGATGGTTTTGGTTCTTAGGTACTTAGAACCAGAACTGTGTTACAGGTTCCAGTTCTAAGTACCCTATAAAATTCATGACCCCCCAAAAGTTTTTAAAATGGCAAAAAAAACCCTTAAAAACTTACAAATACTCCCCCACCTGGCACTTGTTAACAAAAATAAAATTACAAATTATAAATTACAAATTACAAACTCCATTACTTTTTAAAGGTAGAGTCTCGAAAGTCAAACCAACTTACTTTAAATGTTATGAAATATAAATATAAATATATTCACATTACTTTTTCTACGAAAGTTTTTATTAACCCCCCTACTCTTTAATTTTATTTTATATTAGTCTTGGTTCCTGGTTTCGGTTCTGAACTATAGGAACCGAAACCGGAATTGCACAGTAACAGTTCCAAAAATTTGGAACCGAAACCTACTTGTTGATGACCAGTTCCGAGTAGGAACCGGAACCAAACCCAGGGTACCTGCTGGTTTCGGTTCCAACCGGTTCTTTTGAACACCCTTAAGAAGTGGTATAATTTTATACTAATTTCGTTATAGAAGTGATATAATTTTATACTATTATTTTTAAGCACAACAAGTGGTAGTTTAATCTAGGGCTATTGGAGTTCCACATTTTTTTTTAAGATGGCAGAATCTTTGTCGTCCTTGAGGACAGTTGTGAGTAGTGGAAAATTTGAAGTAGAGAAATTTGATATTTGATGGGTTAAATTCTTATAGTACGTGGTTGTGTGAAGTTAAATATGTCATGTCCCAACAAGAATTAGAGGGTGTCATTGAGGAAGAGAAACCATTTGATTTAGGGATGTAATATGGGTAAAGATCAACCGCCAGACATGCGGGACAATTCGTTCATGTCTCACTAAGGAGCAAAAATATCCTTATATGAAGGAGACGTCTGCATGGAAACTCTGGCAGAGTTTGGAGGAAAAACATTTGGAAAAGAGCTGAAAATGTACTCTATTTGAAGAAGAAGCTTTTTCGATTTGATTATCGGCTAGGAATGTCCATGAATGACCACATCAAGGCTTTACTGATTTTTCAAATTTAGATGAATTCGTAAAAGACACTGATAAGTTGTTATGATGTTATTTGTTGGAGTCTCACACTGACTAGACACGCTCAAGCCTACTAGTTTATAAGAGAGGGTAATTCTCCCATTCAATAAAGTCTTTATTGGATGAGGAGTCAGACCCACCTCAAATTCTATCTGGTATCAGAGCCCAGGTTCAATTGAGCTAAGTGTTTGACCAGCGGGTGAGGAGTTAGAGCCAACAACTACCTCCAATAATAGGCATGACCCAACATGCGGGCTTGACTGTGAGGGAGAGTGTTGGAGTCCCACACCGACTAGGCACGATCAAGCCTACTGGTTTATAAGAGAAGGTAATCCTCCCATTCAACAAGGCCTTATTGGGCGAGGAGTCAAGCCCACCTCAAATTCTATCATTATTTTCTATCCTTTTAACCACCACTTTCATTCACGGGAAAGATAAAGTGTCTTATGAATCTGTTTGTAATTCCCTTTTAAATTATGAAAAACGAACACTTGATAAAAGGGGAAATATGGATTCATTAGATCAAGCTTTAATAGTTAGAGATCAATCTCATAGTAAGAAATTTGAAGATAGAAATAGAAGTAAATCTAAGTTAAAAGGAAGACTTACTAAAGATGAATATGCCTTTTGTCGTGAGAAAGGACATTGGAAGATGGATTGCCCTAAATTGCAAAAGAAAGATAAGGGCAAAGATCTTTCAAATGTTTGTGTGGCTAAAATTGATGAAAATGAGTCAGATTTTGCTTTAATTGGTTTGTCTTTGGTGTCTCATTCTGATGAGTGGATTATGGACTCGAGTTGCAGCTATCATATGGGTTATAATAGAGAATGGTTTTCTAGCTTTGGGGAACTAGTTGGGGAACAAGTTTTTATGGGCAATGATAGTGCGTGTAAAACAATGGGGATAGGTGCAATCCATTTGAAAAATCGTGATGGATCGATCAGAGTTCTAACAGATGTCTGATATGTTCTGGGTTTAAAGAAGAGCCTCATCTCATTAGGAGTCTTTGTATCTAAAGGACTAAGTATTAATATGCGAGATGGTGTTCTTAAAGTTGTATTAGACACACTTGTGGTGATGAAAGGTATTCGAAGAAATAATAATTGGTACTACTTTCAAGGAAGTACAATTATTGGATTAGCAACTACAGTCTCTTAGGAGGATGTAGATTCGGAAGCAACCAGATTATGGCATATGCATTTAAGACACGCCGAAGAGAAAACATTACAAGGTTTGGTGAAATAAGGTTTATTGAAGGACATAAAATCCAATAAATTGGAATTTTTTTAGCATTGTGTCATAGGGAAACAAACAAGAGTAAAGTTTGAATCTACAATTCATGAAACAAAAGAGATTCTAGATTATGTGCATATAGATGTATCGGGACCTACCAGAGTTGCTATGCACTACTATGTTACTTTTTTTGATGATTTTTCTCTACGAGTTTGGGTGTACTTTATGAAAAATAAGAGTGAAGTTTCGGAAAACTTCTTGATATGGAAAAAGATGATTAAGACTAAAACTGGCAGAAAAATTAAATATCTCTAATTAGATAATGGTAGTGAATATATGAGTGACCTATTCTTGAAAGTCTGTCAAGATGAAGGAATTGTTAGACATTCATAGGCAGAAATACACCACAATCGAATGGGTGACAGAATGCATGAATCGAACTATGCTGGAGAAAGTTCAATGTATGTTGTCCAATTCTAGGTTGGGCAAAAAGTTTTTGGTTGAGGCAATTACATATGCATGTCATCTCATTAATCGTCTACCATCAATTGTAATTGAAGACATGATGCCAATTAAGGTATGGTCTATAAAACCTGCTGCTAATTATGATTTCTTACATATTTTTGGTGCCACCGCATATTATCATGTACAAATCTAAGTTGGATCCAAGGGCCAAGAAAGCGTTATACTTAGGTCATACTACTAGTATTGAGGGATATCGTCTTTGGTGTCTATACACAAGGAAGATT